GGGTTTAGGGTTTAGGGGATCTGAACCATAAACCCCAAATTCAAACAGGCCGGCGATGCAGCTGTCGAACGCAAGCATCGAAGACTCCAGTGTCGCCCTGAGTCGGGGTGCGAAGCCGCGAGTCTTAGAGAGGCCCTAAACCCTATACAAGAGAGACGCTAAGCCCTGAAACCCCAAACCAAACCTCCAAATCGCTGAGCCTAAACTCCAGAAACCCCTAAACTGTTGAGGCTTACCCCCAGGACTCCAAAGTGGTGACCCTGAACCCCAAGACAAATTGTGGAGCCTAAACCCCAAAATCCAAGATGGTATTCCAGACAGCGACTAGGGCTCTGGCACGCTGAACAAGAAGATCGCTAGGCCGAGATGTGAAACTGAGCCACAGAAGGGTGAGGGACTAGGCTTTAGGATGGCTTAGGGTTAGAATTTAGGGTTGGGGTTAATGGCTTAAGGCTCATATCGTAGGGCTTTCGTCCAGAACAGCTCCGGGACTATTCAAGGCTTGCAGTTGCCGCAGGCTAGGGCACAGACACGATCGTGATACCTCGGTTTGTTTCACACACATCCTCTGTTTTTGCTAGTCTCCGCAGCACGCATGGAAGGGCCCGCTGAAGCTCAGCCAGGGACCAGAGAGGAACCAAGTTTTGCAGCTCCGAAGACGGGCACAGCACTCTCGAGTCAACCAGGTGACCTCCAAAGCAGACGCCAACGAAGCACTTAGTGTGCAGACATATTGATTGGAAATCTCCCCGGATACCTTGTTAAGGGGCCCTTACAGCAAGGATTCATCGGGTGGGATTACCTTTGGCTACCTTGAGCATCGCCCCATGCCCGTGTGAAGCAGTGGAGCCTCAATGAAGGAAAACTGCCCAAGGTTGTAGCGCCGATTGCCGACAACGGGCATGTGGTGAGCGATGTCTGCCAGCCCCTCACAGACTCAAGTCGATGAACTTGCTGTAAGCGGGAACATGAGGCTCGACCACGAGCCAGGCAGAGTCGTCTGAGCTGATGGCGCCGACGTCACAACGGATAGTGGTGGCTCCAGACGCATGAACCCTGTCCGTGCCATGCAGGTATCATGGATTGATGCAACACTTTCTGTTTATGCAGGTCTGCATGTGCCGTCGAGCCTACAGATGCGCACATCTCTAAACCCGCGATGCGGGCCACAACATGTTTATTTTTCTTCCTGTGTTGATTTCTACCACCAGTTTTCAAGCGCTTTTGCCGTCCCTGACAGGAACCGCCTCTCGGAAGCGGGATGGGTTCTGCGTGGCTGAATTGCAAGACCTGCCATGCCACGGGACGTGAACTCGTCAGAGTGACTCCCACATTATTGTAGAAGCTTTCCAGAAGGGAGGAGTCTGCCCATCTCATGCCAGCAGCGCGAAGATAGCTGGGGCCATGCTGCTGTAGCTCCGAAGGAAAAGAAACGACCTTTGCATCACAAGACGCTGCCACAGGATTCTGCATGCTTCAAGACGCCCTCAACCAAGAAATGTGCAATCACTGCTCAAACAAAGGTCTGCTGCGCTCAGGCTGAGACTCCAAAGTAGAACTGCTCAGGGTGGAAGGCGAAGTACCTGGACACAATGGTCCGTACAGCCACAAAGCGACTCAGCTGGTCCGTCTGGCCTGGTCTCGCTAAGCCCGAGAGTGACGTCGGAGAGCCCAATCTTGCAAATTTCCTGCGCTGCGCTCGGAGATGACTCACATGCTCGCACACCTTTCCATGTCACTCCCGTCCTCACGAGCAGGCATGATGCCATTTGAGTAAAGGACTTAGACACGCAACGCACATCGATGTCATCGTGCTGACATGACACGCGGGACCTAAGACAAGCTTCACAGAGCCAGCTGAGGCAACGGCAACCACCGACAGGTGCACGCCGGCGATCATGGGCGTAGCGCAGCTGATCAGGGGGCCCTTGCCACCCTGCAGGTCGGTCACTTTGTCGTCTTAGGCCGAGGAGGGCAAGGGGCCCCTTTGCATTAAAAAAAAAGAGAAGCGCTTCCGTCGCCTGGGTGATTGACGGGATGCTCCCGAGCCACAAAAGCCCTTGCGACGAAGGCAAGGGGTCGAGGCGGAGCGCACCTCCGAACCGCACAGACTCTCGCAGATTTCGGGGAAGTCTAAACACAGCAATGCTGAGCCCCCAAGAAGCTAAGTCCGCGACCAAATGCAGAAAGAGCAGATCCCAGACGAGCGGGAGATCGAACAGGCATGAGGAGGCCCAGCTTCTGCGCAAAGCATACGCGTCGCAAGCGAAGTGCGTGCGAGTCTCAAGCAGCTGCCATGTAGCTACGACAGCAAGCATCCAGACAGAGGCCTGCGAACTGCTTTCTATGGGGGCAGCCTTGCCTGGCAGTCTGTGATCGAGAGATCACGGAATCTGCGCTCTGTCTCGATGGACGGCGTGGGTCCTGCAGAAAAGGGCTATGCTGTCTGCACCCCTTCGCAGATAACCCTAAACCCTAAACTCCCTAAACCCTAAACTCGAGAACATGAACAGGGCAATTCGGGTCTCTACCCGGGTCCTGGACGAACAGAGCCATGTACCAGCAAAATAGGCCCTGCAGAAACGAGGTCGATGGCCAACATCGAGGCGCCAAGGCGAGCGTGGCTTCGTGACAAGAAGGGCAAATCGAAGTGTGCAAATCTCACAACCTGGGCGTTCGACGGAGAGGCACAGACAAGCTGCAGCTTTGCAGAAGCTGTTCTTCAAAAAACATGCTCGGAAACGGCAAGAGATGAGAGCTAGTTCTGAGCAATGTTCTCCCATGTTTTCCCTGCCCCCGATTGCCTGATTACCACAAGCGTCTAACTGCATCCTTCTTGCAAGGATCCTCCCAAAACGAATCCTTTGCTTTTTGAAATCTCATCGCGGTCCGTGTCGCTTGTTTAAAGTTTAATAATGACTCTCTAATTTTGAAACCTCACCGATCCTCAGATCACTCCCCTGCCGCAGCCTTAACCCCTGCAATACCACACGATATCAACTACCAGAAGAACTCTCCACTCTTTCATCTCTGGTCCCTTTCGCCACGTTGCCACATGTTTTGCCCTTCGAACTTAAAGGGCTTTTCACCTTTGCATACGCGTGTGGCCTGGCCACGTTCTGTCGCGAGTTGTGTTCGAACGTGAATTCCCTGTCATTTGGCTCCATTCGGGTGCGTGTGGTTCATGGGTTACCACAAGCTTTTTTGGCAAATACTGTGGACTCCCCAGTCCAAGCCCAGAAGCCGGTGCGCCTTGGGCTCGTTGCCTCCATGTCCCTTCCTGCTTTAGCATCCATTCTTTGCTTCCGGGTCCGTAACGGTCCGTATTGCTCGTCTTCTTCGCAGCAGCCAAGCGGATGCGGTAAACCCCCCGAGAGTACGTAGTTCAACTTGAACCAACTCTATCTCTCGCATACCAATGATATAGATTCCATGCGAGTTGGCGGGAACATGTTTGCCCAGGAACCGGAGCTTCAAGCACTGCTTAGCTTTGCGCACTCTTGGAATGACTGCACACTTGTTGCCATATATGTTGCTCTCCTCCTCTTCTTCTTCACGCCCTTTCTCTCACTCTGCTTCCTTTCAGTGCCTTTCTTCCCCTGCGCCTTTTTCGAAAGGCCCCAAAACCTACTGCAGCCAAGGAGCGAATGCCAGAAAGCCAAGGCAAGTAATTGATCGAGGCGAGACCGGTGACCCAACATGACCGAAGCTGGGGACAGGCATGGTGTCGCGATAGCCAATGCGAACTTTACCAAAGGGTGGAGACTTGAAGCCCATTGGAGCATGGCTCCTTGTTGACGGAGGAAAGCCAGCTGATGCAGACTTCAGGACAGGGAGAGCTGATTCTCCTCGACTGGATGATCTAAGAGGTGATGACAAACCTGGCTGCACGCAACCAACCAGTGACAAGGTGCCACCCATGCTGGTGAACGTCGCATCAGTGTCTAAGGTCGTGCCCCCGGTCAGCTGCCCGGAGACTTCAGCACCCGCTGGAATCTGCTTCACGCCAAACACGGACAGGGGAGACTCCGGGCATGTACAAGCCCTTGCCGACATGAACGATGCGGCATGGAGGAGGGCCGGCGCAAACAGTAGAGGGTCAAAGCAGGCAGAAGACCGTGAGGACAGCAAAGAGCCCATGTGCTTAGCAGACAGGACTGGCAAGCTGCTGCACACTGCACAGAAGCTTCTTATGCTGATACTCAACCCCAGGCTCACACAATCTGACAGGAAGCATGAAGAGCCGGTTCGGCTTCTGCCAGAAACGAACGCAGAAGAATCAAGCCGTTGCCGAATTCGCAGAGGCGTCAAGGGGCCGAGCGTGAGATAGTCCGAAGCCGACACTGCCAAACTCGCTCGTGCGAAGCTTCGCAGACTCAAGGCGGGACCGGCACTTGTGAAGCCGGGCACGAAAACCAGCGATGCCGCTCAGACAAGAGACTGCGAGGACGGCAAAAATCCAAAACCAGCAGCCCCCAAAGCTGGTGTAACAAAATCTGACCAAGATGTGCCAAGAGCTGACGCCGAAAAACCCACATAGCTAGGCTGTCGAAGGGATGGAGGGAAGCCTGGACGTCCGAAACCGAAAACCAGCACGGCGCTGCCTGAACGTGCAAAGCTGTGCAGCGGAGCCGAGAGTCCAATCCGGGCAGCAGAGCAGGCAGGCAACGCTGGGTCCACTTGGCTGCAAGACCTGAGTAGCATTGCCATCCCCGAGTGGTTGTGGTCCAGAGCTGGAACAGCAAAACCAGGCCAAGCAATGCCCAAGACGAGCACAGGCGGGTCAGCGCGGAGGAAGCTGCGCACCAAGAGCGAGCTGCCCAACTTCTCTGCACCGTACACTAGCAAGACAGAACCCGATCAGGAACTACTCTTAAGCAGCAGCGTTGATCCAAGTGCGCCAAAGCAGAGGGCAGGTACTGGAAGGCCACCTCATGCAAGGGACCTTGGAAACAGCGAAAGGCCCATGTGGGCCGTACCTGAGGCAAGCGAAGACGTCCCCGAAGCACACCTGCCGGATGTTAACGCAATCAAGGCCAGATGTGCAAACCTTCGCGACAACAGGAAGAAGTCAGGGTTGGCAAGCTTCAGCGGGAGAGCGGAGGGGCCCATCCTGGAAAGGCTTTGCAAGGCCGGGAAGGCTTCCGGTGGCACAAAGCTTGGTGCAGGCACTGCCAAACCCAGGCAGCTGGGACTTCGAGGCAGAGCGGCGAAGCCCAAGTGCGCTGCCCCCGAGGCCAGCAGAAGGGTGCCTGGCCAAGCAAGTCCGCAGACGAATGCAAAAGCTGCTGAGTGAGCAGAGGTTCGCGGCAGCGCCGTGGAACCCGATCGCGCTGCGCCAAACACCAATAGACTCGAAGACAGTTGCGAGAAGCTGCGGAGCGACAAAAAGGGTCCCAGTGCAGCACCCCCCATGGCAAAGAGCGTGGGGCCTGAGTCAACGCTGCCAAAGGCCAACAGCACAAAGCCAAAGTCTGCTGTTTGGTAGGGCGGCAGCAGTAGACCTATGCACGACATGCCCAAAACCAGCACCAGCGCGTCCAAGCATGAAAGCTGCTGCAGCAACAGCGAGGATTCCGGAGCGTAGAAGCCGAACACGAGCACAGAAGATTCGATTTTGCAGCGACTCCTTGAAGACGGAGGTGATCCTACCTCGAAGCTTCCTGTTGCTGGCAGCATTTCGGCTATCCTGATGTCCATCGTTCCTTTGACAGAAGGTTTCGATTCCAAAATCGCAGATGAACGGGGGGGCGGCAGAGAGTCTAGCCGAGTGAAATGGGGCACCAATGGTGCCAATCCTGCACATGCAAGGCTGCGTGACGGCAACGAGGCACCTGGACTTGCACCACCCAGGGCGGAGAGACGGGAGCCAAAGCAAGACAGTCCAACGGCAGACGGCGGCGAGCCAAGTCGAGCGGGACTTTGCAAAGGCACGGGGAAGCCTGGTCTGGCAAAAGCAGAAGCAGCTGCTGCGAAGTCAACTCATGCAGAGGTTTTCAGAAGCGACGATGAGCCGCATGCGGTATGTCCTGGCACCGGCATCGTCGAACCAAGACGGCTTATACCAGTTGCTGGAACTGGAGAATCGAGCTACGCAGGGCATCGAAGTAGCGCCGATGGTCCCATCCCTGCTGCGTTGAAAACGGAAACCACTAAGCCGGCTCTACTGAAGCTTCGAGGGAAGATCGAGAAGCCCAGGTGTGCGCCTCCAAAAACCAACAGCGTGCAACCAGCATTGAGATCAGAATGCACAAACATGGTTAAGCCGGCCTGCACATCACTTTGAGCAGTCACTGTGCCGGCGGCATGCCCTGCGCCAGAGATCAACAGCATCAGTGCCAAGCGATGAAGGCCGCGCGGGGACGAAAATGATCCAGGGCTAGCCAAGCCCAAGAGAAGCGTCACCAAGCTAGCTTGCACGGAGCTTCTGGGCAGAGCTGACGAGTCCAAATGGCCAAGATGCGGCACCGAAAGCAAGCTTCCTGATCTCCCGACTCCGAAAACAGGCACGAACGGGGCTGACTGTACGGAGGTTCGTAGTGACACCAGGAATTCCGATCGCCCGTAATTCGGCACCGGCACGACAAATTCGAAGCGACCGAAGCTGCGTGAAAGCAGTGGTGAACCTACACTCACATGTCTTGGAACAGATGGAGGCAAGCCCATGCAACTCGAGCTTCGGAGGGACAGCAAAGGACCTGAGAGACTGCCGGCAAGTGCCGAAGGCAGGGAATCACAACGACTCGATCCAATTGCAAACGCCAGAAGGTCCAGTCGTGCCATGTTCCTTGCTATCACCACGAGGCCCAAGTGCTGAAAGCCAAATGCTGTCAGTGAGAAGCCTAGTTGAGAGGAGGATCTCAGCGGCAACAGGAAGCCTGAAAGCATACCTCCTGGCGCTGATGCTGTCAAGCCTGAGCGGCTTCTGCTAAAGACGGAGTGCGGAGATTCGGGCTGCGCGAAGACCTGGAGCAGCGAAGAGAAGTCCAGGTGAGTGAATCCAAACACCGTAACTGCCAATCCCAAGCGGTGGTGGCTCTTCGGCGGCAGCATCGAATCAGAAGTACCGATATCAAGAATAGACACGGCCATGTCGAGCTGCGAAAAGCTGCGCGACAGGATCAATGGACCCAAGCTCGTAGAAGCGAGCGCCAGAATCATTGGCCCAGGCCGACCACAACCCAGGATCGGGACCGAAGCTTCCACTCAAGCCGAGCACCGAAGGAGCAGCGAAGCTCCCGCGTGACTCGAGCAGGACACTGGAGGTAAGCTCTCTGGACGCGAAGGGCTTCGAAGCGACACAAAGGAATCGATCGTCGCGAAGTTGCACGCCAGCATCGCCGTTCCCGCACAGCTGAAGGACCTGAGCGGAGTGGAGGAGCCCATGATGGCGCCTGCTGGCACCGGCACGAAAGCACCTGAGCGCATCAAGCCACAGCACGGCACGAAGGGGCCCAAATGGGCGAAGATTCGCAGCAGCGTCAGAGGGCCTGCATGAGCCATGCCTGAGACCAATGCTGAAGAAGCAAGCCGAAGGACGCTGCGTGTTGGCAAAGGGAATCCAGGCTGCAAGCAGTCTAGAGTTGGCATTGCCGGGCCGACTTTGACCCTGTTGGATACTAATGCAAGAGAGCCCACACAAGACAGGCTCCGCAAGGACGGCAAGAAGCCCGCGTGGGATGCGCAGAATACAGGCAGAAGGGAAGCAGCACGCGAGCAGCTGTGCAAGGACGGTGGCAGGTCGATTCTGGCATAACGGGGTGCTGATGCCGCCGGTCCCATGTGGGAGAAGCTCCTTGACAACACGGGGAACCCTGAGTGCATGCGGCCCAGGGCAGGGAGTGGTGATCCCAGCCTGCCAACTCCGGTGGCGGAAGCCGCCAGGCCAGCACAAGAGAGGCTGCGTAAAGGCACGGAGGTGTCTGTTCGAGAGGCGCAGAAGGCCGGAAGGAAAAGACCTGAACAACTGAGGCTGCGTGCAGACGGCAGAAGACCGGAGGTAGTGGGATCCAGAGCAGAAGACGGGGAGCCCAAACGCGAGCATCCTAGCAAAGGAAGTGAAGAGCCTGATCGGAGGGGATCTCTGGCTGGTGAGGAGGATTCGTCCCGGACGTTGCCATCTGATGAAAGGCAGGACCCTGGTCTGGCAGATGCATGCAGAGGCAGTATCAAGCCTGGAAGCGAACGTTCAGGGGTTGACAGAGCTGAAGCAAGCCGCGTGCAGCTGCGCGGTAAAGTTGATGGGCCCGGATGTAGCACATCTGGCACGGAAGGCATGAAGCCGCACCTTCCAAGTCCTCAGCAACGCAAAGTCAACACTGCAGGATACTTCAAAAACAGTTCAAGAGTTCAGGGCAAGCTGAAGTCTGAGGCCATGGCCGAAAACTGACGAGTTGCTTGACAAGCAAGACGTGCTCCTTGAGGACGGAGGAAAGCCCAGCCATGCGAGACCGTTTGCAAAAACCTTGACAGAGCCGTGGGAATTTCCGTCTACGGGCTCGGCCTCCTGAGTGCACCTCACTAGCTGGGCCTAGCTCATGCAGCCTAGCAGCCGAGCTTTCTGCACGTGCGGATGATCGGGGTGGCAGCGAGGCACCTATCGTCATCGCCTGCAAAGCTGGAAGCAAAGTTCCTGGGCGACAGCTGCTGGTGGCTGATACCGTGGCATCCAACCTCAGATAGGACCTTATGGCTGTCGGGCTGCCTGTCTGTCCGCTCAACAAAGCGAACACCGACGGCTCGGGTCACGCAAGGCTTTGCAAAAATGCTAAAAGTCC